GGGCGGCGCACCCGACGGGGTGATGATTGCGCAGGGGGGGCCCTTGATGATGGCGCCCCCGGCAATTGGATTTCATGGCGCCTCTTCTTATTTCATTACGTCCCTGGCCCCCCCGCTGGGCCGCGCACATGCCGCCGGTCATGATTTGCGCCCCCCCCTCTTTGACGCCCCCCTCTTTGCCGCCCCCGAGATGGGGCCGCTGTCCGCATATCGAACCACGCGCGAAGCAGCTGCACACGAAGGGAGATCGCAGGATCTTCTTCTCCCAGCCACAGGGCCAGCGTCGTCGCGAGGCACCCTCCTCCTCCTCCTCCTCCTCCTCCTCCTCCTCCTCCTCCTCCTCCTCCTCCTCCTGCCTGGGCCCGCCCCCGCCACCGACGCCGCAGCCCGCCGCCGCAGCACGGCGATCGCGGCGGGCGGCGCACCCACGACGGGGTGCCCGTAGGAGGATCGAGGAAGGGCACCTTGCAAAAGCAGGCCTCTGGAAATCCAAAGACAGCTCAGCATGCCTGAGGAGCCGAAAGATGCGGCGCGCTCGCCTACGGCCCTTCGACCGACGATCACGCAATTTACGAACCACTCTCCTAGCTCCCCGCATCACATCCGAGGTCAATTGCACACGACACTCGGGAGAATGGCAGGCCGACGTTGCTTAAGTCGCTGGAAAGAGAGAGAGAGAGAGAGAGAGAGAGAGAAATTTACTTAGGGCAGGCGAGGCAGAGATCAGTTTCGTCTTGTCCGAAATCGGCAGCTGAACAACCGCGAACGAGGCAACCAACAGGGCCCCAACCGAGCACATCTGTTGTCGAACGGACGTCTGCGCACCCTCGCTGCGAACGACCGTGTCGTCCACGAACGTCCAAAGCCCGATCGTCGGCGCCTCGGGGCGATTCCCTCTGTCGTGGGCAGAGTAGAATTGGCACCAGGAAAACCTTAGCAAGTTTCACGCTGTGCCCTGAACCCGCCACTATCAAGCGGCCAGGAAAAAGAAACTCGCTGCAAGTGCTCCTGGATTGGAGCACCCTCGGCCAGAAAAAGCTTGACCTCCAGGAGGGTGACCACGGAAGGAAAGCCTTGGGCCATCGAGGCTTCCATGAGCTTCAACAAACTCACATTGTCATAGAACCGGTCAAGGTTTAACAGGATGGAAGCCGAGGCGAAACCGAGCGCCACTGCACTCTCACCGGGCACGGCACGAACGAGAGCAGCACGCAGAGCAGAATTGTTCCGCACCGCTGCGCCCCACTGCGCGTCGAGCGCCTGCGACCAACGGTCCGCGACGCAGGCTCGAGCTCGCGACCGCACTGCGGCAACAGTCGGGGGCAGCCCGATCACCCCGTCGCCTCCCGCGGGCATGGGGATGGCGAGGCACAGCGCCATGAGAATCTCCTCGGGCCACGCGGCGAGCCTCTCCACCTGACTCGAGGCATCCGCGCACTGCTTCCGGCCATCCCCGGGCAGACGCTGCAGGTCCAGAGGGGGACGGCACGTCGCACCCCTCGGCCTTCGACCCAGAGAGGCGCCGAAGCAGGCGGCCCACGTCGTCGAGCTGCAGGGCATCGAGTGGGGCCCTGCGAGCTCCCTACCTCAGAACCGCCATCCCCTGTAGGAGGTCTCTCCGCGAGTATGTGCCATCACGCCAAATGGGGCCCCAACGCTCAACCTGCTCCGCCGCGGTGAGATAGCTGGATCCTCGACGCGGCCAGCATCAGGCCAACACCCCTCTCGCATGTCGATGGACAGCGCCAGAGGGGCTTCCTCCAGCTCTCCTGCGCCCAGTCGACGAAAGCCTGCCCCGCGGCCGCCAGGCTGCGGGAGACAGCCCGCTGCGCCCAGTGCTGCGCCTGCTGGGCAGCGGCGTCGAGGTCCTCGACGTTGGAGCCCGCCCTGGCAGCCTGCCGCAGCAACGGACACCACGCGTCCACCTGCTTCGACGAGGATTTGCGCCCGAACATCAGCATCCTCTCGATGGTCTCGCATGTCGTCCACTTCTGCACTTCATCTCTGCCATGCCGCCTGAACGCCAGCAAGTTGACAAGCAAAGTATCAAGCGTGCACCACCACTCAGCAACTGGGGCTCGCATATGCGCACGCCCAGGCGACTGCTTGGAGGCGCGCCCAGCTCAGCCTCGGGACCTCAGCGCGACCTCGACTACGAGAGGCGGTCGATTCGTCCGCCCGCTCGACTCGAAGAATCGCCTCCTCAACCGCACTGACCCAGGTCACGTAGAGCTGAAAGACTGCACTGAGACCGTCGCCCGCTGGCACGGCCCAGGCTTCGCTAGCACTCCAGATGTGCCGGACCCCTCTGGCCCCAACCACGTCGGCGGCCTTGTTCCACTCGTCAGGCCCGACATGGAAGGGGGCACAGCCAGTGGGCTCTTCAGCCTGGGTCGCGACCAGGTCCTCCGCCAAGGCATCGGAGGCCTCGCGCAGCCGAGGGCTCAGCCCCGCGACGACGGGCCCGCCTGCTCGGCGAGGCTACGCAAGCGCTTGCTGCCCTCCTGCGCCCGACGCCGAGGGCGCGGCCTCGCGGGCAGCGCCCGCGGGGCCGCGAGGACTCGGTGCCACCACGCTTCGCGCCCACTGGAAATCGCCAGCTCTAACCCCACGTGCGTCTTCCACGGCGCCAGATCCTGCACGCGGATGGTGGCATGCTCCTCATCACCCCTCCTGACGACAGCATAGTCAATGAGCGAAGAGCCAGCCGACGTCGCACATTTGACCTCTACTCTAGGGATCACGAGCACGCCATCCAGCACGAAGAGCAGCCCCGCCCTGTCCAGGACAGGCGGCTCAACGTTCTAGTCACCGACGATGATCCAGGGGTCCGACAGAGCGCGCGCGAACCGACAGAGGGAAGGAGGCCTGGCCGCGCTGGCTCCACCCAACTTGTCGCCAGGAAACATGTATGTCGAAATAACCAGCAGGTTCCCTCGCTGCAGGTGCAGCGTGATAGAACAAGAACCCACACACCTGGAGGATGGCACAACTCGCTCCCAGGAACTGGAGGCAAGATGACTCGGAACGAAGATCGCCCCCCCTCCGCGGGAGCCTGACGCCGACTTCACCGAATGCGTAGCTGGCGTGACCGCAGCCCTCCGTCCATCTTTAGCGACCTCGGACGGCAAGTGCAGGGCCGCAGGGGCCCTGGCGCGCATCTCCACGTAGCACACCGCATCGCACATCCCCCGACTGCGCAAGAAGCCCAACGCCTTAGGCCCTCATTCTGTGATGCTGCCGAAGAAGATGGTGGACTTCAAACGCCTGGCAGGCCCCCCTGGGTCCCAGCGCTGGAACCTGGGCAGCTGCACTAACATAGAGCCGTGATGAAGGGCCCGCAGACACTGCATCGCCTACCGCATTCTGCACATGTGCGGCCTCCGAGAGAACCGCGCCACCAGCTGCTGCCATCCCATCTGCGGTGACGTCGTCCAGGTAATCGCTGATGTCGTCAAACGGGTCGTGGCCGTCCCCCGCCGCCAGCACGTCGCGGCCCTCGGTCTGCGCCTTGGTGCCGTCGGAGTCCGCCATCCCGGCAGCCAGCAGCGCCTCGGCGAGCCTTTCACCCTTCACCGCGCCACTCAGGTTGTCCGATGGTGCCCGCGCGGCCTGACCTAACAGGAGCTCGCGCTGCAGGTGGGGGCCCAGCATGCCGTCACAAGGTACAGGATCGGGACGAGAGGGCCCGCTGTCCGCGCCGTCGCCGCACATTGCCGAAACGTTGGCCTCGCACTCTGCTAGCAAAACCCGCGGCGACTGAGCCCGAGCCAGCGCCCCCAGGGACTAGCTCGGAATGTGTGCTCTTGGCAAAAAAAGGCGACGGAACCCAAGACCTGGCCCCTAAGGATTGGCTCGGGATTTGCGATCTAACGCCACGCAGCCAAGACCCAGCCGGCCTGGAAAGCGAAGCCGACGTCGCCATTGAGGAAGAGGGAGCCGCCGCCACCGAGCAAGACTGCGCACTCACCTCGTCGTCGTCGCCGCTCGAGCCGCACTTGTATCTCGCGTGGGCTGGGCGCTGCGACTTCGAGGGTCCGAATCCCTCCGCGTCCAGCCCTGTCGCACTTGAAGAGCATGATAGTAGGAAACTGCCAGTCCATGGCACAGCATAGTCTGGCAGAGGCCACCGAACAACGTGGTCGTGATGACAAGAATCCTCTCGCCACGGCGGGGCCCCCCGACCGTACCTCTCGTTGCTCGGGGGAGCGTAAGGCCCGGGTTTGCCAGGACTCGGGTTCGCCATCGTTTTTTGACGACCGCGCCTCGGATTTTGACGAGGAGGAGTTTCGTGGGATGTCTGCAGCGGGGAGGCCTCGTCAAAATGCAGGCTCGGCCTCGTCATTTTTGTTGACGACCTCGTCGGGGATTTCCGAGTCCCCCGTACCCGGGTCTTACGTCTCCCCGAGTTGCGTTCGTGGCTCTGGCAGCCCCCTTGGACGGCGAAGCCATCCTTCCCACGCCAGGGACAGCTCGCGCTGGCCCCTGGGGTCTTGCGAACCGCCACCTGGAGGCCCGAGCCCAAGACATCCGCCGCGTCATGCGCACTGGGCCAGCCAGGAGCCTGGGGCCCTTTTTAGGAAGTTCCGTCTCGCCGCCCTCTTGCGGGCCTCTTAGGCCGCGCCCACTGGCATCATTGTCACCCCACTGCCAGATGAAATGATCATTCGGCCCCGTCGGAGAGCAGATAAGCTTCTCACGGCTACCTTCCCCGCAGAAGCTATGCTGAACACAGATTGCGGCGTCAGAAACAGCTTCTGTCCACACCATGTCATGCCTACATGGGTGTGCTTCCACTGACACCGCCTCCACCACCGCGTTCCTGCATTCAGGCCTGCTTGCCTGCGTCCCTCGCCCACCTCCCTCTCCAGCGGCCACCTCCTCCATCCACGCCGTCCCCTCCAACCTCCCCTTACCCGCGAGGCCCCAGAGACGCTCCACTTCCACGTCCACGCTAGGGCGGGCAAATTCCGCGGCCGGAGGCCGCGGGTCAGCCCTAGTCAGCTACAATGCTGGGATCAGCGCGTGTGAAAAATGCGAGCAGTGGCAGCGGGCTTTGGCGCTGATGAACGAAATGCGGGAGGCGAAACTGGAACCCGACGTGATCTGTACTACAATTCTGGCCGTTGCGCGTGCGAAAGGGGCGAGAAGGTCGCGAGATGCCCCCGAGCGCCCAGAGCGCCCCGCCGCTCTCGGACGGTTCTAGAGAGCTCCCACGTGGCTCCAAGACGGCCTCGGGCAGCCCCATTACCGCTCCGAGACGCTCGGGATGAAGGGTGGACGTCCCAAGAGAACCCGAACGAAGCCCTACACAAGCCCCAGACGGCTCCAAGGCTATCCCAGATCGCCCCGAGACTCTCCAGCAGGCTAGGCCGACTGCCCCAAGACGGCCCCAGAGGGCTCCGTGACTATCCACAAGGTTCCCCACACAACCACTGATCAGCTCCCCGGGGCCCCCAAGATAGCGCCAAGAGGGCCCCAGAGCTGTCCAACAGGTACCAAAGCGAGCTTCAAGACAGCCCGAGACTCCGAACATGGCCCCAGTACGGCCCACGAGGCCCCCGCGACGGCCCAAGAGGGCCCAGCAGTACCCCGATGACGGCCCCCACGAGGCGAAACGACAAGCCCAAACCATACATTGCCCAAGGCTTCCCACGTTCTCACATGACGGGCCCAGAACGGCCCCACACGGCTCCAGGTCCTTCCAAGATCGCACCGAGATGGCCCAGGAGGCCCCTCACGAGCCCACCAGGACGGCCCCTGCGGGCCCCGGGCGGCCCAGACCAGGCCGCAGAGAGCCTCGCAGAGCCTCCGGCTGCTCCCCCGAGATGCTCCAGGAGCTGCCCGGGAGGGCCCGAACAAGATTCCCAGACGGCTCCAGAAGTTGTAGAGGGGAAGGAGGTTGAGGAGGAGGAGGAGGAGGAGGAGGAGGAGGAGGAGGAGGAGGAGGTCCTCAGACCCCCTGTCATGGCCCGAAGAGATGGCCTCAGCGGCCCCCCGGTATGGGGCCAAAGGGGCCCGCGAGGACTCCGAGGGCGGACCCAGGGCGTGTCCCCCCTACCGGGGGATTTTTTTCGACGAAAAATGACAAATACTTCCAAAATGCCCCAAAAAGGTCAGAAAATATTCCAAAAATGGTCCCCAGATTATGTTTGGACTATGTTTTGATTATTTTTGGGGTATTTCCGATTTTCCGTCGGAAATCCCCCTGCAGGGGGACAGGCCCGACATAAACCTTGTGTGTTGTGTGTGGCCCACTGTTTCCTCTGCTCTCGTCATGACGGGCACGGCCCCACGCAGTTTCAGGCATTTCTGCGATCGCCCCACAATGGCCCCAGAAGGACCCCAAAAAATAAGTTTAAAAACAACAACCAACAAAAAAAACTGAAGGACCCGACGAGCGCAACAAGGCGACCCAAGAGGGCCCCAAGCTGGCCCAAGACAGGCCCCCGAAGGCTGGAGCTGCCCAAGAAGGCCGGAGGAGGCCGGAGCAAGCTCCCGTGAGAGGACGGAGAGGACCCCCGACGTATACCCCCCTGCTGTAGCATCCGTCGGGTTCTCCCTGGAGGGCCGCACGGAGCCCCTCTCCGCCCTGGCTTCGGCCGCCTACGGGCCTTCTTGAGCGAGCCCCGACGGATGCTACAGCGCACCCCCCTGTAGAAGCATCCGTCGGGGGCCGCCCCCGTCCTTTCACGGGAGCTTTCTGACAGCAACCTCGCAGCACGCACGCACAAGAAGTTTTCTGGGCTGTCCCCCAGAAGAGGCTCTGGGGGGCAGCCCGGGAACGGCTCCAGGGGCGCCCCCAAACCGCAAGAGGCCTTAACGACGCTCCAAACAGGCTCGCAGAAAGGCCCAACATACTCCCGACACTGCCCCAGGGACGCCCGAGCTGTTGAACTTCGACGAGCTGTTCACCCACGGTCCCAGGTTCAGCACACCGTGGATTTAAGCCACGGATTCACACTAGTCAGCTACACCACTGGGATCAGCGCGTGCGGGAAGGACGAGCAGTGGCAGCGGGCTGTGGCGCTGCTCAGCGAGATGCGGAAGGCGAAATTGGAGCCCAGCGTCATCTTCTCTACAATGGAGAACCGCGCGCACCCGAACGCACCGTGGATCAATTGACTTGTTCTGCTTTCGAGAGGCCCAGGAGGCCAAAAAGTCCCCCCGGAGCAGCTTGGACAGCCCTGCAGGCCTTGGGCCACGCCCCGTACACGGCCCAACGAAGCCCAAAGACGGCCGAAGAGGTGCCCAAGACGGCCCCCGGCCCCAAGACGGCCTTGGTTAGCCTGACGACGGCTCAAGAGGCCCTCAAGATGCCCCAAGAAAGGTCCAAAAGACAGTCGCGAAAGGCCAAATCGTAGAAGCCCCCACTAGCGCCCCAAGACGGCCCCAGGACGGCCCAAGAGGACCCAAAGAGGCCCCAAAGCAAGGAAAATTCGAATTAAAATTTCGCGCCCTACGCCCCAAGATGACCCCCGAGACCACCAGCAGGCCCCTAAGAGGCCCCCGACAAGCCCCAGGAGGTCCTCAAGATGCCCAAAACAGATCCCAACAGGGCCCCGACGGGCCCCAAGACATTCCAAAAACCGCGTCGAGAGGGCTTCCGACGGAAGATCCCTAGGAAGCTCTGTGACCGTGCCGGCCACCCTAGAGAGCCCCATGAGCGAAGGACGCGAGATGTTCGGCCACGCGCGCGCCGATGCCATGCAGGCATGCGTGTGCTGGCTTCTTCTCGCGCCTCCCTTCTCACTCCTTGCTTCTCGCTCGATGATCCTCGCTCCTCGCTTCTCCCCGCTCTCTCCTCGCCCCTCGCCTCCCTCTCCTCGTTTCTGGCTTCCTCGCTCCTTCTACCTCTCTCCTGGCCCCTCGCTTCTCCCTCCTGGTTACTTGCTCCTGCCTCCCCTCTGCTCTTCGTCTCTGCCTTATCCCTCCTCGCCTCGCTCTCTCTCCCTCCCTCTCTCTCTTGCTCTCTCGTTCTCTCTCCTCGGGCGTCGCTACTCCCGTCTCACTCCGTGCTCCTCGCTGATCACTGCTTGCTTCGCCCACTTCCCCCCCGTCGACCCTGACTCCTCGCTCCTTGCTCCTCGCTCCTCGCTCCATTCGCGAGCTGCAGGTTGCGCCATCCAGGAGGGGCACCAAGAAGCAGCACTCTGCAGCCTCAACAGCAACAGCGAGCAGCAGCAGTCCGCAGCAGGCAACGGCAGCTCAGCAAAAGTAAGCAGCAGCAACAACATGCCGCAGGCAGCGGCACCCTGCAGCTGAAGGCAGCAACAGCGGAGGCGAAGTTTGGGCCCACCGCCATCCCGAAAGCCTGTCGGCAACATCTCTGCCCTGGTCCAACGTGCCATCTCGGACTTGTTTCGTGGCCGGTGGACCACGGGTCAGCCTTAGTCGGGAGCCTTGAGACGGGGGTCAATGCAAACGGGGGTTAACCACGGCACCAGATCCTGCAGGATCCTGCGAAGACCCCCTCTGGCTGACTCAGGTTAGCGAGCCGCTCGTGGCTGCGAGGCGGCCGCGCTTATTGGCTGACCCGGGTTTGCGAAGACCTGCGTTGCAGTTTTTTTCCTGCATTGCAGTTTTTGTTGTTTTCCTGCATTGCAGTTTTTGGTTTCCTGCTGACCCGGGTCTGGATTGACCCGGGTCAGAAGATCCCCGACTTAGTCTCTACTACCCTGCTGGCACACGCGAGTGCGAGAAGTACGTTGTCTTGAAAGCTCCTCCGGTGCTCCGGCGGGCCCCAGCGGGCCCCCAGGGCGGCCCCAGTCCGCTTCGAAACGTCCCAAGGCGCTCCAAGACGCCCAAAGAGAGCCCCAAGAGCGCCTCAAGATCGTACCAGACGCTCCCAAGGCCGCTCCCAGACGCCCAAGGTAGCTGCAAGACGGTCCAAGAGGCCCCCAAGACACTCCAAGAGTGCTCCATGGGGACCCCCACCAGGGCCCCAAGAAGCAGAATTCTTCCCAAACCCTTTTGGGAAGCTGGCAATGTTTGCATTGTCGCTTTCTCAGTTTTCACATCGTCCGAGATGGCCCTAAAGGTATTCAAGATTGCCCCAAGACGGCCCCAGAGCCCCCCAAGAAGGCCCCAAGACAGCTCAAGACGGCCCCAGGATGGCCGAAGAAGTGCCCAAGACGGCCCCAGAGGATCCCAAAAGGGCCCGAAGAGAGGTCCACGGCGGTCCCAAGACGGCCCGAGAGGCGCCCAATCACGGCCCAAGAGAACCCCAGGCGTCCCGACGGGATCTCAAAATGAACGCCCCGAGGACCTAAGAGGCTTTCAACCAGCCCCCAAGAGGCCCCAAGAGGCTTCAAAACTGCCTCCAAGAGAGGGGGGCGGCACTCCTGGCACGCCCCAGAGAACTTCGCTTTTCAAAGGATTCCAGCAAAACAGCCCTCCCCAGCCTAGCGTTCCCCAGAGATTTTCAAAGAAATCCCGTAAAAGAGCTCCCCAAAACCTAGCGGTTTTGAAGCCCTCTTGCTCACCCAGGAGCGCCCTGCGAGCCTCCCCAGCGATCCAGGAACCTTTCTGCGAGCCTCTCGGCTCGGGGGTCACCAAACGGGGTGGTGACCACACCGTGCGGTGAGTCGGTGGGGATTCGGGGTCACCGCAAAGTTTTGGGACTCGGGTCGTTCTCCGAGGACGTCTCGGGCGACTGAGGCATCCGAGGTCCCAAAACCGTGCGGAGACGGACCGTGCGGTGAGGTCTCCTGGGGTTCCGAGGTCATTGTACGGTCTGTCACCGCACCATTTCGGGACCCCAAATCGGCCGCCCAATCAGGAGCCCTGGAGGGGCCCCCGAGGGCCTCCAATTTAACCAAAATCTGGCAAGACGGCACGTCCGACCCAACAGCAATGTTTGTCAACTTCTCGTGAAACGCCATGCCCTCAAGGAGCCCTCTCGGGCTCCCCCCGGGAACGCCCTGCGAGCTTTCCCGGCGATCCCGGAACCTTTCTGCAAGCTTTTCGGCCGCCCGATCAGGAGCCCCCGAGGCGCCCCAGGGGGCCTCAGGCGATCCTGGAACTTCTCAACAAGGTTCTCGGCCACCCATTCAGGAGCCCCGAGGCGCCCCAGAGGGCCTCCGACTCAACAAAAATTTGACAAGACGGCACGTCCGACCCAACATCAGCAGCACCCTGCAGCTACGAGCAGCAACAGCACGCAGCAGCGGTGAGTAAGCATTACAAACAGCACGTGCACGCAGCAGCGGCAGCAGCAGCACGCAGTAGTCTTGCTTGGAATGCGGAGTTCGGGCCCCACGTCATCATGTCAGACTTTCGGCAGCACGTCCCCTAGCACATGCCAGCTCGCGCAGATGTCGTGGGCTCCGCTGTGAGTTGCCAGGTGTTGGCAGGGACGTAGTCCACGGGTCAGCCCTGGTCAGCTACAGCGCTGGGATCAGCGCGTGCGGGAACGTCGAGCAGTGGCAGCTGGCTTTGGCGCTGCTCGGCGAGATTTGACACAAATCAGACAAGACGGCACGTCCGACCCAACATCCATCAGCAGTATGGGGAGGGGGGGTCATGGCCGGGGGCAGGGCATCTCCCTGGAATTCATGGCCCCCCACTTTCAATGCATCCATTGGACCCGCCCTTCCGCGCAAATGCCTGGGGCCATGATTTGCGACCACCCCTCTTGGACGCCCCCAGAAGCTTCCCGCAGCCATTTTGGCTCAAGCCATTGCGACCTAAGGTATTTACAGTATGGCTCAAGCGGCGGTGCCTTGTCTTCTCGGATGCTGGGCATCCGCCGAGGGTCTCGAGAAGGCGCTATTTCCCTCGAAGCGTCGATCAAGAACTGCGGTCGGATAAAACATTGGAGCGCTGCACTGCGGTTGCTCCGCGAAGGACTTCGATTAGGTGTGCAACTCGTCCCAGGCCACTACGTTGCGACTGCCAGCGCATGCAGAAAAGGCGGGCAATGGCAACACGCGCTGTCAGTGCTCAGTGAGATGTGGAACGCGAAGCTGGAGCCCAACGTCATCTCTCCGACAAAGGCCAGACCGGCGCCCGCGGAGCTGCGGATCAGTGGCAGCGGACCGGCCCTCTCCGGCGGCCCCTGCGAGCCCCCGCAGGCCTCGGCGCGCTTCCAAAATGACAGCGTTCCGAGACGCACAAGGAGGCCCCCAAGGGGGCCCCCAGACGGCCGAAGACGGTCCAAGAGGCTTCCCAAACGCCCCAAGTGGGCTCCACGACGAGCCCCAAGAGAGCCCGAACACCGACAAATCGTCCCACTTCCTCGGGAAATTATGCGTTTTCGCAGCTCTCGGGCTTGCCCTGTTCATCGCGCCCGAGACGGCCATAAAGAGGCCCAAGATGGCCCCAGGACGGCTTCAAGAGCGGCCCAGGACGGCCCAAGACGACCCCCAGGGATGGTGCCCAGATTGCTCCAGAGACGCCCAGGGCGGCCCCAGGCAACCCCCAGACGGCCCCGACAACGCCTCACACGGCCTCCAGACGGCCCACGACGCTTCCAAAACGCTCCAAGTGGGCTCCACGACGAGCCCCAAGAGAGCCCGAACACTGACGAATCGTCCCACTTCCTCGGGAAATAGTGTGTTGTCGCAGTGCTTGGGCTTGCCCCTTTCGTAGCGTCCAAGATGGCCATACAGGGTCCCAAGATGGCCTCAGGGCGGCTCCCAAGGCTCGCCTGGCGGCCCACGGGGCACCCAAGACACCCTCAAGAGCGGCCCAGGACGGCCCAAGACGACCCCCAGACGGTGCCCAGACTGCTCCAGAGACGTCCAAGGCTGCCCCAGGCAACCCCCAGACGGCCCCGACAACGCCTCACACGGCCTCCAGACGGCCCACGACGCTTCCAAAACGCTCCAAGTGGGCTCCACGACGAGCCCCAAGAGAGCCCGAACACCGACAAATCGTCCCACTTCCTCGGGAAATAGTGCGCTGTCGCAGTTCTCGGGCTTGCCCTCTTCATAGCGCCCAAGACGGCCATATAGAGGCCCAAAATGGCCCCAGGACGGCTCCCAAGGCGCCCCTGGCGGCCCACAGGGGACCCAAGACAGCCTCAAGAGCGGCCCAGGACGGCCCAAGACGACCCCCAGACGGTG